ATCCACTCACCTCAGCCTCCCAAAGGCGCGGGATTACAGGCTGAGCCACCGAGCCGGCTAGCAACGAAATCTTAAACATGAGAACAAGACAATAACTTACGGCATCTGTAGCAGTCCCCAGTCCATCATAATACATCACTCCTAGCTGGTAAATTGCTTGATGATCTTTCTCCTGGATTTCTTCAAACTGTTCTAATGCTTCTTCATACCATCCCTATAAGCCCCCAGAAAATACGTAATTATTTTTATTATGAACTTAAAGTAACCCCACACAGAAGCACCGAGTGGTCTAGTGCTTGTGCCCAAGTATGCACAGTTAAAAAGCAAGACACCCATATCTGGACCCCTGCCCAAAGCTGGGGGAATCACACCCTTAGCCACCATGCTAGGCTGTCTTCAGAGTGACAAGCGCCTGTTGAGCCCTCGACAAATATTGGTGACCAGAATAAACAAAGGTGCCATCCAAAGGTTAGAGAACAAGTGGGGTATAGGTGCATAACTGCTCAAATATCCAATGGATGGTGGGGATTTGGGACAGTCCGTCTCTTTTTAAATCTTCTCTTGGGGTTGGATGAAGAATTGAAGCTAGATTACTCATGTTGGGATGCTAGCTGGCACGACTCCAACTCAGTCTACCTCCCGGCTATCCCAGCACAATGTGGAGAAAAAGCGATTTCCTCCTGACTCTGAGGAAATTAAAAGTAGCTTTAAGTACGTAGAGAAGACTCAGTCTCTCCAACTACTACTAGCATGAAGACGTTTTACAAAGTATATTAAATAGCTTGAGCAAAAATACGAAATTTGATTTTTAATTTATAGAGGGAAATGGATTTTATGCCAAAATGCCTCCCATAAACGACACTCATGAAAATTACTTTGGTGAAGAAAGATCAGCTATCTCCTTAAGCTGGTGGCCGTGTATCGTACTTAAAGCCACAGTCATAATCTATATAATTGGACAGAATTTCCCTAGCCTAACAAAGTAAAAAGCTACACATGAAATTTTGCCGTGAGGATCTAACAACAGAATTATAAGAAATGAAAACAAATACACAAGAAATTTACCTCTTCAAAATATAGTTGACCTCGTAGGAAATATGCCAGAGTGTCCCCTCTTCTTATTCTTTCTTTCAAGAGTTGCAATGCCTTATCCACCAGATTAGCATGGCTATAACGATCTGATTTTTAAAAGGCAAATAATCCATTAACCATACGATACAAATTTTCTCTCTTGAAGTAATAAGTGACATAAAATGTGGGCAACCCTCTTTCGGGGCCCCTCCGGTTGCCAGGAGATTTCCTATTGTCTAATAAAGTCCTACTTACTAAAAAATATAAATAAATAAAATTCACCGAACACTGTTAACACTAGTTTCTTCCTGTTCTCATTCCTAAAACTGGCCTCCTTAGATGAAGAAGAATTACCTGGGGGGGGAAAACGTCATCATAATTCCTAACACTGTTCATTTTTAGTAAATAAATACTTTCCCACTAAGGGCTTTTCACACTAACCCTGTCCATGGCCAGGCCGGAGCCCAGCAATGCAGTCATATGTCCGTGCATTGGTTTGTCTTTGGGGAAAACTGTTTTGTGGAGAGTTAAATTCTTAATTTGAACCTTAATGAGAACAACTTTAGCCAAATGGGCTCACCCTCCCTAATATAATTTTTAAAAGGCCTATAGAATTAAAAAAGGTAGCACCAAGTGACAATTTCAAGGAAAGCATGGCATTCTCTTGAACAGAAGTGACATCTGGCTTCTCTTTTTGCGAAGTGTGCCCTTAAGTCCTGAGGGTAAAATCAAAATCAGGATTTAACTGTGAGCCTTCTCCCCTGATGATCTATCAGAGACATTCAGTGGCAATTTCCAGATTCTTGTAGGAAAGCTAAAAAGGTCTGTAAAATTAGCCACTTCCTGGAAGTCAATAAGACACATTTCCTGTCTTGCTTGCTTTAGCATAATTAAATTTTAGTGAAAATATTTTCCAAGGGAAGATTAAATATCAGGATTGTACCAGTCTTTTCCTTTCTCCACTGGAAGAATTTCTGGTTCTTAGCAGCATACTGGGATAGAGAGGCATGAAAGGGGTTCTTGGGCAACTTTTCACTGGTCAACTTCATCCTAGTTCCACACTTGGGATTCTGTAAAAGGAACAAGAAATAAGACGGTAGAAATTTCTCCCTTCAGTGAAGGGCAGAGAGGCCCCATTCCCATCTGGGACTCCGTCTGAAAGCATTCGCCCCTCTCCGCCGAGGGACAGGTCACCCAACCACTAGCTCCCAGATGGGAATGTTCTTTTTGTTTGTTTTTGAGGCAGAGTCTCACTCTGCAGCCCAGGCTGGCGGGCAGTGGCACGCTCACAGCCACCCCAGTCTCGAACCGCTGGGCTCAAGGGATCCTTCCAAGTAACTGGAACTACACGTGTGTGCTACCATGCCTGGCTAATTTTTTGATCTATTGTAGAGACGAGAGCTCACCGAGTCACCCAGGCTGGACTCGAACCCCTGGCCTCAGGGACTCCTCTCACCTCGGCCTCCCAAAGTGCTGGGATTACAGGCTTGAGCCACCGAGCCTGGCCCTGAGAATCCTTTCCTAGGAGACCATGGCCCGCTATAGCTCTGACACGCAGCCATCTGCCCGGCCTGGTTCCACAGAATGTGATTAACATGAGATCTGTCTGCACGTTCAGTCTGGCCGTGGGTTTACCTGCTGCCATGGGTCATGCCACCCAGCACACCAGGGCACTTAGGCGTCACTGGTTGACACTGGCCATAAATATGGTTCTTGTGCACCGGTACCTTCCTGTGGCCTTGTAACCGAAGCACATCAGGTGAATCCATTTCCAGTGAAAGCCTTTGTCTATTTTACCTGGGACTACTTTATTTTAGTTGTGCTGTTCAGTTTTATCTTCCCGTCTGCATTGGACTGCCATGTTATAAGGTGGGTCCCAGATGAATGGCAAATCAGGGCCTTCATATAAAATGTAGAGGCCACCTCATCTGGGTTGGCCTCGGCTGAGGGTAGTGAGACAGCAAACTCAGTTGTTGCTATGACTTTTTGTTTACCCCTTGGCATTCCACTGTTCCAGCTAACTTTCACCAATTGGAAGCAAGTTTCCAGGAAAGGGTCCTGATTGGTGGTCAAGAGAAGAACTCAAGAGACCCTTAGTGTGATTGGAAAGCTACACTTATATAAGTGCATGATGCTCTCTTAGACAATAACTTGCCTTATGAAATGAGAACAGAATGCAGAACAGGAAGATAATTCAGTGTATCATGAAAAAAAAATCGCTTAAGTAACTGTGATTTTGGAAGAGCCATTTAATCATTTTCAAGAGCCAATTTCCTCATCTGTAGTTTGGGCTATAGGTAGTTTGAACGAAAGGATTTAAAAATGTCCCTTTTTAGATAGATACAGTTCTTGATTCTATGAGTCCCAAAATCTTATGGTTGCATTCTCAACGAACTTTACTTAGGGTGAAGGAATATTAGGTAAAGAAGAAAAAACAATCCAAATAGGATGATGTGGATAGCACATCATCACTCAGTTACTAAGAGACTAGATATAGACGTCTTGCTTTTTTAAAGGCATTAACACAGTGTGCTACTATATCCAAAAAGCGGATAAAAACTTGGCGTATTCAGGAAGGACATCAGAAATGAAACAGATCAGAAAACCATACCTTACCTTGTTTAAACTCATGTTGTCTTCTGTGGTTACAAGACTGCACATGGTTTTTGTTGCTGTAACTTAAAAGAAGTGTGGAAGAGGCTCTGGACAATAAAAACAAAGATTTATTGAGCTCTTCCTAAATGCCAGGTGTTATCCCTTGTTTCACATGCATTAACTCCTAAAAACTTATTATTATTATTATTATTATTATTATTATTTAGAGTCAGGGTCTCCCTCAGTTGCCTAGACTGGCATGGAGTGACACAGATCACGATTCATTGCAACCTCCACCTCCTGGGCTCAGGCGATACTTTCTGCCTCAGCTTCTGGAATAGCTGGGGACCAGCTGATTTTTTTTATTCTTTGTAGAAATGAGGTCTCACTATGTTGACTAGGCTGGTCTTGAACTCCTGGGCTCAAGCAATCCTCCCACCTTAGCCTCTCAAAGTGCTGGTATCACAGGCGTGAGCCAGGCTTGACCAAAACTTTATTAAACAGGGACTATTATGAGACCCACTTACTGTATGAGGAAACAGGCATGGTGAGGAAGTAACCTGTGGAAGGTCACAGGGCTGGTAAGCTGGACAGCCGGCATGCCCTAGCACCTGTGTTCATTATTATTCTGTTCTGTTTCTCCAAAAAAGCAGCACTAATATGAGTTTTTAACATGGCAGGACTCCTGTAAGAGGTTAACCCAATATTTAGTATTTTTTTAATGTGAAAAAATAAGCACGAAGAGGAGATGAAAAAAGCAAGAGCATATGTTTGTTTCTGCCAAACCTTGAGGTTAGATATAAAATTATCATTTGAAACTTGACAACTGTTTGCATGATATATTGCACATTTAGAAAATTCTGGCTGGGCACGGTGGCTCATGGCTACAGTCTCAGCACTTTGGGAGGCTGAGGCAGGAGGATTGAGCGAGCTCAGGAGTTCCAGATCAGCCTGGGCAACAGAGCAAGACCCCCCACTCTCTACAAAAAATTAAAAACATTAGCTGGTATGGTGACATGGGCCTGTAGTCCCAGCTACTTGACAAGCTAAGGTGGGAGGATCACTTGAACCCCGGAGGTCGAGGCTGCAGTGAGCTATGATTGCACCACGGCCCTGCAGCCTGGACAACAGAGTGAGATTCTCTCTCCAAAAAATAAAAATGAAAATAAAATAAAAAGGAAACTTCCATCATATAAATGGTAGGCATTCATTCATAATAGAGAATCTGAAAGAAATCGATGATTTTCAAGGGAAGGGCAGGTGGAGTGGATTCTAAGGGTGCCCTTCTCAGCTCCTCTGTATGAGGTGGTACCTGTCCCCAGCTGCTGTGGATGGTCACTGAAAACAACTCACAGCTGTTCCTTCTCTGTGGCTTTGTCCCCAGCTACACAAGCGTCCCCTCACTCCAGGACACCTTGCTGCTTCTTTCGTGGAGCCAGACCACTCAGGGGACCATTATAAGAGGTCATCTGTCATGCGACTCCAGCGTCGCTCCACATCCTTGCTGGGTGTGTCAAGATGCAAGACCCCAACTGATCTGTGTCGGCCATTCTCAGGGCTGTACCTGCAGCAGGTAGCCTCGAGGGATGAGGTCGTGTCTCCCCCGCAGACAAACAGTAAACACTGCTCTAAAAAGCAGTGAATCCCCCAGGCTCAGTGCACCTGTATTATCGTGCAGCCCACTCAGTGCACGGGCATCTGTCGTGGGCCCTTTATGCCACCTCTGTGGTAACGGGGGGGCATTGGGAACTGGCCCAAACATCATTCTGGCACACTGGCTACTGCTTGGGCCGTGAGTCATAAAAGTCATTTGTCTCTGGCCCAGCTTAGCTTGTTGATGGCAAGCAGGGTAGAATCTCAGACTCTGCACAGTCCTTGACCTCTCTGCTCAAGAAGAGATCACCTGGGGTGGAATTTGTGCTCTGTGAGGGCCCAATGAAGGCAGTTTCCTGAGCCCACGCTCTTGCTTGGCGTTTTCCCCCTGCCTTATTGTGGTTCTTTGAGTTCCCTTCTTCTGAGACCCCCGTTTCCGTCCCCTGCATATCACTTGAACAATAATCCCTTGATGCTCTGCCTCTAGGGAATGCAGCCTAACACAGTAAGGACAATGGAGGAAGAAGGGTTTATTCCTATCTTTCTAAAGCTGGCATAGTAAAGGATAACTTGCCTTCCAATAAAATGCTAGAGTAGGCCGGGCTCGGTGGCTCAGCCTGTCATCCCAGCACTTTGGGAGGCTGAGGCAAGTGGATGGCCTGAGCCCGCGGGTTCGAGGCCAGCCTGGGCAACTTGGCAAGACTTCATCTCTACAATAAATCAAAAAAATTAGCCGCCTGTAGTTTGAGCTACTTGGAAGGTTGAGGTGGAAGGATCACCGGAGCCCAGCAGGTCGACACTGGGGTGGCCATGAGTGTGCCACTGACCTCCACCAACTAAAAAAAAAAAAAAAAAAAAAGCACACTGTGAATAGTGTCTGTAAAGTGGCATGTGAAGTCTTTTCTTGGCAGGGGAGGGTGTGGCATTCCTGGAGGTGCTGCATCAGCTTCCCTGCTCCAAAACCTCATTTGCTATATGGCCCTCGGATAGAAGACGTAGCAGATACGAAACTGAAAACAGATGCTATACTTCATCTCTGCCAAAAGGCCGAGAATCAATAGTATGCGAAATTCTGATTAAAAATGTTATTGATAAGAGTACTAAAATTAACCTAATGATAAATAGCCTTATTTAAAATGCTCAGTGACAAGGGAAGGGAAGAAGAACTTGAGAACCGGGGGATTCTACAGAGAACCAAGATGTGAGTTAAATCTGCTTTGATAATGGTGGAGTCATGCCACATAGCACTGCAGGCAGAGCTGCCTCCTAAGGGCTGGATATAAATGAATGACCATATCCTCAACGATTCAGGCAAGCAGTGACTCTTCCTGAGCAGAGATTTGAATCAGCATGGAAGTATAAAGAAACTAGAAATTTCTTGAAAACCCAGGGGAAAAAAGAGAGGTGTGTTTGGAATAGACCAGATCCTGGTAACTGAAAAGAGGTGCCTACAAGTGAGGAATGATTCAGCAGACTTAATCATCATGTTGAAAACTGTTTTGTTTTTGTTTTTGTTTTTTTCAGTTGAAGTCTCACTCTGTCGCCCAGACTGGAGGGCAGTGGCCGCTCCCAGCCACCGCAGCCTCGACCTGCCGGGCTCCGGCGATCCTTCCGCCTCAGCCTTCCGAGTAG